TTCATATTGGTGAGCTGAAAATCTCCACATTTTATAGATAACCAGCACCAACCCAATACCAATAAGTTCGCTACAACGTTACAAGAGAAACTGCTATTGTTGTAGAAATGTATCCCTTTAAAATAAGAGGATCGACTGCTAAAAAAAAACGCTTTAGTGTCCACATTGTAAGAAAACCTTTGTCCGCGAACTGTGGGCGAGTCTTTTTTTCAGGCAGCCCACTGTACAAGTGATAGACATGTGAGCAGTGTTTCATAAGGATTTTTAAGGAAATTGTAATTAATGTAACAACAACAATTGTAACAACAATAATTGTAACAATAATAATTGTAATAAATTTTACTTGCCTGTACTGATCACATCTTGAATTGCCTCCAGTCACTCAAGTTATCTTCGCCGATATACTAAATGAATTTATGTAGGCACGGTCGGTGATCTTCGCTGATCTTCAAAAAGGGCGCCACTTTCCCAGCACTTTTTAGCTCTTCGAGCCGCTCAGCAAAGAGTTAATCGTCATATGCTTAAGTTTATCCACAGGGGACCCGAACACTATATCAGCAGTAAGAATAAATGAGCTGTTATTTACCTGTGTTCCTGTGTCTTTTTGAGTCGTTTAGAAGGGATTTGAATGAAGCGAAAGTGATTTATATTCCGAATATTATCTCGTCTGCCACTTTGTAATCCTCCGTAGGAAAAAAGATGGCGACTGGTACATTTACCCATAGTTCTTAGCGAGCGAAAGCGTTAACAACGTTCGATCATAAAAACGCACAGAAGAGTTGCAAAATCTTCAAACCTAGCATACACAACGTCCTTCGTACAGGGACAAATATTGTAAAAATTTGGCTTTCTTTGTGCCTTACAGGCTGTGTAAGGTTCGCAAGGTAGTGTGGTAAAATGTACAGCAACCATCTTTTTTCCTACGGTGGATTATGACGTTCCGATTACGTCTCAAGTTTCTATTATCGTATATTCTCAGGTTTCATGATGAGAGTTAATAGTTAAGGACGTTAATCGGAGCGTATTTAAAAGGCGGGATAATATTCAGAAATGTAAACCGCCTTCGTTTCATTCAAATCCCTTCTAAACGGCTCAAAAAGACACAGTAACAAAGGTCAATAACAGCACATTTATTTTTACTGCTGATATAGTGTTTGGTCCCCTGTGGTTTATCTTTACCCCCAGAAACACTGCTTACATCTATCTTTAAATTCAATTGAATCCAATCTCTCGAATCGTTTTTTTATCGAAAGCACGGTCGAAGGCAACCATTACGCTGTTTATCGTTAGAAAGTGTTCGACGGCGATTTCCTGCTACAGTTGGATCCCGCTAATTGCCAATTCCCTCTACGATATGTGCCTGCAGGGAATCATGGTAGTTTTATTCATCATCTTGGACTGGATATTTGTTTTGACTGAATAAAACTATCATGATTCCCTGCAGGCGCGTCGCATAAAAAGGAGTTAGCCATTCTAACTCGGTCATTTCTGATTCCGCATCATTTCGAATTCAAACCCATTTTCCTTTTGCCCTTGCTTTTTTTTTTTTTTTAGACTCATTTACAATCGCCTTTTTCAAACTCCCCCTCTGGACTGATTTCTCTTTCCCTTGGCCCAAAATCAACCCCGTTTATATCGAAATCCATAAACATCATCAGTACGTCAGACCAATAATAATAGAAACTTGAAGTAATCGTAGATTAAAGAGTGCGTTCGAGTTTTGGTAGGTTTGGTATGTTAAAAAAGCAAAACTTCTAGGGACAGCATTTAGTGCCTGAGCTGTTAGATAGGTGTGAAATTGGTCTCCCTTCAGCAGGGACGATAACAAATGAATTGATCGCAAAGCACGTGCATACGAGAGGGTTTGTTCTCGTTTATACATGTATTATGTAATGTTAGTTACGACCGGTCATTAAAAAACACGGACTGCAGTCGGCAGGCCGCATTTAGTCCGCGGTCCGCATTTTATACCTGAGTCCGTGTTTTATAACCAGTCCGTAATGCTTAGTCCCCGTTTTATACCAAAGTCCGTGTTTTATACCCAGTCCCCAGTCCGCAGTCCGCAGTCCGCAGTCCCCAGTCCTCAGTCTGCAGTTTTCATTTCAACTTCCGTAACAATGAAACGGAGGACATGTTGGTGTACCAAAGCAATCTTGTGGGAGTTGAACTCTTTTCCTATGTTAACACTTTCGTTGAGTTTGTGTTACATATTTTGTGCAGAGAAATCTAGGCCAGCGAAGTGAAACTACACATTTCCTCCTTTGATTTAGTCAGCATTAAGCAGCGTTGGTTTTGGTCGAAGAGACGAGGGTACACAGCACGCAACCAAACTACAGCTTTCTGCTCGTACGAAAAGTTGTACACATTTCGTGAAGGCATGTCTGCAAGGTTTTAAAATGCCATTAACACTGACTTCGAACTATAAATAAACAACTTATCCGCTACAGTCTACAATAAGCTGCCTCGACACTCGAAAGTCCGCAATATTGCACAACACTCAAAAGAGGGCACATGGACGAACATAGAGATGAAGTCATTCACCCCTGAAGAATTTTTTGCGGGGCCAAATTGGTGTCCACAGAAAGATACATACACAGATCTCGAATTTTTCTGCATTACCCGATTATAACTGCGTTCTCTCGAACGTAATAATAATCTTTAAACAGAGTGCGTACATCACGGAAGTGGTTTTCAGAACGGCCCTGCGATACAAAAAATGGTTAAAAAAGAGGTACGAAAAAAAGAACTATAAAAAGCTATCAACACGAGAGAAATTACAATATACAACAAGAGAAATTACAATCTTATTAAAATCTTTCACAACCTGATAATTTATTTTCTGTTTACCCCAGCTGGTTTTTGGGGAAGGCAAATGGATTTTCGCAGACTGGCGGGTGTTATAGGCGTGAAGTCTATTGTTTGGTATCATGAAATCAAAGTTAGAACATGCATAGCTGGAAAACTTCAAGTTGGGCTTTTCATTACATTTCAATCTTGTACTATAGTGAATTTCGTCTTCAAGTGTTCCTTGGTCGGATAAAAAATACAGTCCATCGTGTTGATTACATATTAATTAGTTTTAACTGTTATTTTTTTAATATTTAATGCTAACCAGGTTATTTTGAACCGGCCAACAATTTCGAGCTTTTTTTCTTCTGCCCTCAGAGTTTGGGGGTTCAACTGTATTTACATACTTTATTTAAAATACAACTTCAGAAATGTCTAAAGGCAATTACAGCCCTTCAAACTTTAAACCTTGCTTCACAGGAGTTATGTAAGACAGTGTAACAAACTTGTTACATACATATCCTTTCAGTTAAGTGTTCGGTCGTTCTAGCGCCAACGGCACTAGTTGGAGACACGGATAAAATACAGCTGAATATTGTTAACTATTATTTAAAAATTAAAACTTAATTTTGGCGGAAATGTTGCAAAATGTTGCGGAACCCTGCGGTAGTGAAACTGCAAATCAAACACAATGAAAGCTAAAAACTCAACTTATTATTTTGATAGCGATATAAGTGTGAAAGTGTGTCATATAATAAGTTTGAAGTTATCATATGACTGATAAAATTACTTCCTTGTGATTGGCTGGGAGCAGGCCTATTTATCGTTATTATAGCAGTTTTTACCGTTTCCTTCCTTTTTTTTTAATTTGCACTGCAGTACAAATTGACACACGCGCGTTCGTACGTAATTTTCTAATCCATACAATAAATGAGAAATCGTATGAAAGCTCAAGCAATTAAAGATTTACACCGTACCCCAGTTAAATTCTTTCAAGTTGCACTCATCATAAGGTTCGCGCAATTTTGGACTAAAGTGAAATATCACTGGTAGTGTAATTCGTATTCAGATGAATAACCTATACTAATTTTAATGTGAATCACTCACTGGCAAAAGCGAACATTTTGACCGACGATTGCTATCGATGACGAGCGGCTCAGCGTTAAAAGCGGAATTTCTCCATTAAGACATCAATAGAAAGTTCACTTTGCCATGCACGAATTTGGCTCACTGAAGCAATTCCTTACCAATACAAGGTTGCTTCAAGGTTGTTTTTAAGGTACATTATTAAATGGTGCTCAAAAATGGTTGTCATCTGAAATGTAGAAGTACACAGCAGCTTGATGTTCACGTGAATCTGATTGCGAATTTTATAGCCATCACGGATGACCTGTTGTGCGTTATACGTATGCATTAACACGTAGAAATGTCAATTCCTCTGTGAATTAACTCAACCTGATTCACAAAGAGCAACCTTTTTACAGCACGACGAATGTTTCCCATTTTCCAGTAATATAGCATAGGGTTAACACTTGCGTTCATCAGAGCCAGAGTCGTTGCAACATCCCACAGAATGTTTTGGGCGATACTAAAGTCTTTTGTGATATTAAAACGAATGGTTGCATAAGCGCAAGGAGAATAGAAGATAAATAATAAAACAACGACGTATAATATGGCAGCTGCAGATTTCCTACTGCGTGATAACGTCCTGGCTTCCTCAGCATGTAATTGGGTTTGATCTCGAATTACTTTCTGATGTCTGCGTAAGATACGGAAAATTATAGCACAGACGACGGCCAATGCAATCGCTATCACCATTATAATCACAACGCTGACAAGGGATACAATGTAAATACCAAGCCCTAGTGGCCAAGCACAAACAACAAGGCCCCATGATAACCACGTTATGAAGACTACTGTAAGTACGCGAGGGATCGTGACAAGTTCACTGTATCGTAAATGCACGCGTAACGCGATCAAACGTTCCAAACTTATGGCAAGCAGAGTCAACATCGAAAGAACACCGGTGTATATGATCATTCCTTCTTTGACTAGCACCAACGTGCACGAGAAGCGATCATGTAGAAGTTGAGCTTTGAAAGCAACGAATATGGGATGGACCACGCAGCCTGCCGTGAGATCAGTCACTGCCAACGAGCACAGAAGAACGTTTGAAGGGGTGTGAAGGGACCGCGTCCTGAGTATGGCTGCGATAACGGGTAAGTTCTGCACCGTGGCTGTTAAACAAAATATGCTATTCAACGCCAGCATTGCCACATTCGTAGGATACATGTAGAATCGTCTCACTGGACTGTCAATGATGAACGAGCACTGGACTGTACCATTGTCCATCTCTGTCAACATATTTTTACTCTGATGGCTCAGCAGTGAAGGATGTTAGCGAGGCTCTTGCAGGATTTCTTTTAATTAAGAAACTCTTGGTCGCTTTGCCCACGTTTATTTTATGCGTCCAGCCTTTCTGCAATAGAATGAACGAACTGTTTACTGTAAGCAATTGAATTTGATCATAAAACCAATTTAAAGTTGCCTTTTAATTATAAGTTACTCCTATGGATGTAATTTCAAGGCAAAGAATTACTCACTTTTGGTTATTTGAATAGAAATAATTATCATCTCAAAATTGATGATAAAAAACGAGAAAGGAAAGAAAGTGATCAATGTCATCTAAATCACTTGCCAGATTGTGGCAACGGAAACTGTTTGGAAAACTGAATAGGGCGCTAACTAGAAAGAACATCTGTCTTCAAACCTCTTTCACTATTTTCCTTCGGAAAAAATTGCCCTAACAAACTGGGTAGAAGATCGTCCTAAAAAGTTCATGAGATAAGGCAATTCACGTATTTAGATCGGTGTATACAAGCGGACAATTTAACCTGTCCTAGTTTCAGCAAAGTGCTAATCAATAATTAATAATGTATGGTACAAATTAGTAAGCAGAATTCGGCAAAAACCGTGTTTATTTTTCAGCTTTGGTAATTATTCGTGTTGATAATGGCCCACCTATCGCATTATACAAAATACTCAGTAACACAATTTACGATATGCACTTTTTTTTTTAGTTAATTCCCTACGAGAAGAGTTCGATTTTCAAACAGGAAACAAAGCTTCAAAGTGGGCATATTGCTAATTTCTCTCATTCTTTCTCAAAACCGAGACAAGTGCTTCAGTAGGAGTCTCGGCAAAGGAAAATCACTCTTGAATTGTGCGTTACACAGATCTAGTCGTTAAAAAGCTAAAAAAAAAGGCCTTCACTACAGTATTAGCTGTCCGCCGTTAATTTCCTCATTGCAAGCTCGGATATAATGTGTCGAGTCTACCAGTATACTAAACGCATGAGTCTAGTGGAAACGCGTGTTTTGACATTTGTCACTCGGTGCCGAACACAGAAAACAGTGAAGCCTCCCGTAGCAGCCTACCAAGATGGTCTAGCAAGTCACTCGCGTAGCTTGTTCGGAACTTCAGGTGGATTTTAACGGTAGTGTTATTTGACGCTCGCTTACGGGCGGAATTTTAA